GGGTTGGACACTCTTCCACTCTGGAGTTGCCCCTGGTGAGAGGCGCCAAGCAGGAGTGGGCATACTTATTGCCCCCCATCTTGGTGCCTGTGTGTTGGGGTTCATCCGAGTGAATGAGAGCGTGGCTCCCTTCGCCTACGTGTGGGGGGATGGGTTCTGACTGTCGTTTGTGCTTATGCACCAAACGGCAGTTCAGATTATCCACCCTTTCTGGAGTCCTTGGAGGGGGTACTGGAAAGTGCAACTCTTAGGGACTCCCTTGTTCTGCTGGGGGACTTCAATGCTCACGTGTGCAATGACAGTGAGACCTGGAGGGGTGTGGTTGGAAGGAATGCCCCCCCTGATCTGAACCCGAGTGCTGTTCTGTTGTTGAACTTCTGTGCTCATCATGGATTGTCCATAACGAACACGATGTTCAAGCATAAGGGTGTCCATATGTGCTCTTGGCACCAGGACACCTTAGGTCGCAGTTCAATGATCGACTTTGTCGTTGTCTCAACTGATCTGCCGCCATATGTCTTGGACACTCGGGTGAAGAGAGGGGCAGAGCTATCCACTGATCACTACCTGGTGGTGAGTTAGCTCCGATGGTGGGGGAGGATGTCGGTCAGACCTGGTAGAGCCAAATGTATTGTGAGGGTTTGCTGGGAAAGTCTGGCAGAGTCTCCTGTGAGACGGAGCTTGAACTCCCACCTCTGGGAGAACTTTGAACATGTTACGGGGGAGGTGGGGGACATTGAGTCCGAGTGGGCCATGTTCCGTGCATCTGTTGTCGAGGCGGCTTACTGGAGCTGCGGCCGCAAGGTTGTCGTGCCTGTCATGGCGGCAACCCTCGAACTCGGTGGTGGCACCATCGGTGAGAGATGCTGTCAGGCTGAAGAAGGAGTCCTATTGGGCCTTTTTGGCCTGTGGGACCCTGGAAGCAGATGATGGGTACCAGCAGTCCAAGTGACATGCAGCTCGGGTGGTTACTGAAGCAAAAACTCGGACATGGGAGGGGTTCGGAGAGGCCATGGAGAATGACTTCTGCACGGCTTTGAGGCGATTCTGGTCTACCATCCGGCATCTAAGGGAGGGAAAGCAGTACACCACCAACACTGTTTATAGTGGTGGTGGTGTGCTGCTGACCTCAACTCGGGATGTTGTGGGTCGGTGGGCAGAATACTTTGAAGACCTCCTCAATCCCACCAGCACGTCTTCCACTGAGGAAGTGGAGCATGGGGACTCTGGGTCGGGCCCTCCAATCTCTGGTGCTGAGGTCACCGAGGTGGTTAAAAAGCTCGTCTGTGGCAGGGCCACAGGGGTGGATGAGATTCGCACGGAGTTCCTTAAGGCTCTGGATGTTGTAGGGTTGTGTTGGCTTACGCGACTCTGCAATATTGCGTGGACATCGGGGGAAGTTCCCCTGGATTGGCAGACTGGGGTGGTGGTCCCCCTATTCAAAAAGGGGGACCATGGAGTGTGTTCCAACTACAGGGGAATCACGCTTTTAAGCCTCCCTGGTAAGGTCTATTCGGGGGTTCTGGAGAGGAGGGTCCGTCAGATAGTCGAACCTCGGATTCAGGAGGAGCAGTGCGGTTTTCGTCCTGGCCGTGGAACACTGGACCAGCGCTACACTCTCAGCAGGGTCCTGGAGGGTGCGTGAGAGTTTGCCCAACCAGTCTACATGTGCTTTGTGGACTTGGAGAAGGCGTTCGACCGTGTCCTTTGGGGGACCCTGTGGGGGGTACTCTGGGAGTATGGGGTACCGGGCCCTTTGATACGGGCTGTTAGGTCCCTGTATGACCGGTGTCAGAGCCTGGTCCACATCGCCGGCAGTAAGTCGGGCTTGTTCCCTGTGAGAGTTGGACTCCGCCAAGGTTGCCCTTTGTCATTGATTCTGTTCATAACTTTTATGGACAGACTTTCTAGGTGCAGCCAAGGTGTTGAGGGGATCCGTTTTGGTGGCCTTAGGATTGCGTCTCTGCTTTTTGCAGATGATGTGGTCTTATTGGCTTCATCAGATCGTGATCTACAGCTTCCGCTGGAGCAGTTCGCAGCCGAATGCGACGCGGCCGGGATGAAGATCAGTTCCTCCAAATCCGAGGCCATGGTCTTGAGCCGGAAAAGGGTAGAGTGCCCTCTCCGGGTCAGGGAGGAGGTCCTACCCCAAGTGGAGGAGTTCAAGTATCTTGGGGTCTTGTTCACGAATGAGGGGAAAATGGAGCGTGAGATCAATAGGCGGATAGGTGCAGCGTCTGCAGTGAAGCGGGCGCTGTACAGGTCTGTCGTGGTAAAGAGAGAGCTGAGTCAAAAGGCGAAGCTCTCAATTTACCGATCGATCTACGTTCCTATCCTCATCTATGGTCATGAGCTTTGGGTTGTGACTGAAAGAATGAGATCTCGGATACAAGCGGCCAAAATGAGTTTTCTCCGCAGGGTGTCTGGGCTTTCCCTTAGTGATAGGGTGAGAAGCTCGATCATCTGCGAGGGACTCAGAGTAGAGCCGCTGCTTCTCCACGTCGAGAGGAGCCAGTTGAGGTGGCTCGGGCATCTGTTTAGGATGCCTCCTGGATGCCTCCCTGGTGAGGTGTTCCAGACACGTCCCACCGGGGGGAGACCCAGAGGAAGACCCAGGACATGCTGGAGGGACTATGTTTCTCGGCTGGTCTGGGAACGCCTCGGGATTCCCCCAGAGGAGCTGGACCGAGTGGCTGGGGAGAGGGAAGTCTGGGCCTCCCTACTTAGGCTGCTACCCCCACGACCCGACCCCAGATAAGCGGAAGAAAATGGATGGATATTTTAAATAAACAATCCATGCAGATTGTGCGGCTCATCCATCAATCATGTAGAAACATACACAGGAACGGTACTGGACTACATCAAGTTCTGCATCGGAAATGTGACTATAGTCAAAAACATTCGGGTTTACCCCAACCAGAAACCCTGGATGACCAGCCAGGTCCGCATACTCCTCAGAGCCCGCAATGCTGCCTTCAGGTCAGGTGACAGAGCTCTGTACCGAGCTGCTCGAGCCAACCTGAATAAGGGAATAAAAACTGCGAAGGCTGACCATAAAAGGAGTATAGAGTCCCATCTGTCCAGTAACAACTCGGGAGGTGTGGAAGGGCATAAAAAACATCACAAACTATAGAGGCTGTGAGGTAATAACAGGAGACCTGAGTGCATCACTAGCAGAGGAGCTAAACTTCTTCTTTGCACGCTTTGATGCACCACAGCAGCACTCATCTGATCCTGCCCTGTCCCCACACCCACCCGGTTACTGCACCACTCCATTCATTGTACGGGAGCATGTTAGACTTTCGCTCCAATCAGTGAACCCCAGGAAAGCTACTGGCCCAGATGGAGTACCTGGAAGTGTGCTCAAAGCATGTGGCCTCCAGCTCGTCCCCACCTTCACCAGAATTTTCAATCTCTCCCTGGCCCAGGCAGTCATCCCTCCCTGCTTAAAATCTGCAACTATCATCCCAGTGCCGAAAACGCCTACCAACACCAGCCTGAATGATTACCGACCGGTGGCTCTCACTCTGGTAATCATGAAGTGCTTCGAGAGACTGATTCTCCAGCACATCAAGGACTATCTCTCTCCGAACTTTTACCCCTACCAGTTTGCATATCACACCAACAGGTCCACAGAGGATGCTATTGCAGTAGCTCTCCACACCACGCTGAGCCACCTGGAACAACAGCACAGCTACGTTCAAATGCTCTTTGTGGATTACAGCTCGGCCTTTAATACAATTATTCCGGACATTCTTATAAATATATTGAACAATCTCACCTCCCCCCCCCCCCCCCCCATGTGCCTGGATAAAAGACTTCCTAACCAATCGGCCCCAATCTGTAAGACTTGGTCCCAACCTCTCCTCCACTCGTACGTTGAGCACTGGCTCCCCACAGGGCTGTGTGCTGAGCCCCCTGCTGAACTGTCTCTACACCCATGACTGCAGCCCGGCCCACAACAACAACCTCATCGTCAAGTTCGCTGATGACACCACAGTGGTCGGACTAATCTCTAAGGGAGATGAGACATTTTACAGACAGGAGGTCCTGGAGCTAGCAACCTGGTGCTCAGAGAAAAATCTGGCTCTGAATATCAAAAAAACCAAGGAGGTAATTATGATTTCAGGAAGCACAGCACCAATCTAGCCCCCCTTTACATCAATGGCGAGTGCGTGGAGAGGGTTCACACTTTCCAATTTCTTGGTGTCCATATCTCTGCTGATCTTAACTTGAAAGAGAACACCACAGCGGTCATCAAGAAGGCTCAGCAGAGACTACACTTCTTAAGAGTACTTAAGAAGCACAACCTGAACACCAAATTGCTGTTGACCTTCTACCGCTCGTCCATCGAGAGCCTGCTGACATACTGTATCTCAGTATGGTATGGCAGCTGCACCCTGGCTGACAGGGAGAGGCTTCAGAGAGTAGTCAAGACAGCACAAAAGATAATTGGCTGCCCTCTCCCCTCCCTGATGGACATTTACACATCAGGCTGCATCAACAGAGCAGAAAACATAATCAAGGACTGTTCACACCCAGGTTTTGAACTGTTTGATTTGTTACCTTCAGGGAAGAACTACAGGTGCATCAGAACAAGAACAAATAGATTCAAGAACAGTTTTTTCCCGAAAGCCATCACCACACTGAACTCACACATGCACTGATTTAATCATCTAACCTCCCAAACCCCTGGACTTCTATTGTCCAATACTACTGACATTTCATACTCTCAATCACTAATATCCATAATGTGCAATATAATTGTGAACTATTTGTATTTTTTTACTTTCATAGTGCTATTATATCTATATTGCGTTACATTTTTTATATTTTTAGTGTGTGTTTTTCTTAAGCATGTTTTGCACTGAAAAAAGGAGTGGCTCTTAATTTCACTGTACTTGCGTATCATGACAATAAAGGCATTCTGATTCTGAATCAGCCATTTGTGTGTCATGCCTAATCTTATTATGAACACTGACACTGCACTATACACTGACCTCTGGGGAAGATGCCGGGGTCCATGAAGGTGGCCATGCAGAAGTTAGCCAATACAAACAGGAAGATGACTCCATTGTAGATGGGAACAGCAAGAGAGAAACGCTCTGACAGCCATGGACACCTGAAACAGGAACACCCCCATGTCCACTGTCAGCACGCTCACATTACTAACAAACATCATGCAAACAGTAATGATAATGTTCTGACCCATGTCTGTGTGTGCATTATACAATATGTAATAATCATTTTATGTTCAGATAAAAGTATATGCTTTCAGTAAGAAAAACGTCTAAAATAATTTGAAACTGACAAAAGTAACAAAAAATAATAAAAATCAACCACTGAATATCTCTCATTGGTTTTTAGTTTAATAGAAATATTAAAAAACAACTAACGAGTCTTCAAGTTCAAGTTCAAGCTGTGTATTTTTGTCATATGTAAAAACATGTCCTGTCCCTCTCAACTCTTCAGGAGAGGAATGAGCTGTGAAAAATCAATTCAATTCAATTCAATTCAGTTTATTTATATAGCGCCAATCACAACAAAGTTGTCTCAGGGCACTTTACAGAAACATTCACATACATAAAAGCCAATTAGTAGTTCTCTATCTAAGGAATCCAGCAAGGTGCGTAAAGCTGCAAGTCCAGATGGAATCAGCTCCAGGCTCCTGAGGTGCTGCACAGATCAACTGTGTGACATCATGGGATTTATGTTCAATCTGAGCCTGAAGCTGGAGAAAGTACCACAACTGTGGAAGACCTCCTGTGTGGTACCGGTACCAAAAACCAAACATTCCAAGGACCTCAGTAACTACAGGCCGGTGGCTTTGACCTCACATCTGATGAAGACACTCGAGAGGCTGGTCCTCAACAATTTGTGCCACGTGGTGAGGTCTTCGTTGGATCCATTGCAGTTTACCTACCAGCCTGGCATAGGGGTGGATGATGCCATCATCTACCTCAGGCACTGATCTCTGACGCACCTGGAGAAACCTGGAAGCACCGTGAGGATCATGTTCTTTGATTTCTCCAGTGCTTTCAACACCATCCAGCCAAGACTTCTGCAGGTCAAGCTGGAGTTATCAGGAGTGGATCACCACATGTCCCAGTGGATACTGGATTACCTCAGTGGACAGCCACAGTATATGAGGACACAGGGCTGTGTCTCTGACAGGCTGGTCTGTAGTACAGGAGTCCCACAGGGAACTGTGCTGGCACCATTCCTCTTCACCCTCTACACTGCAGACTTCACCATCAACTCCATCACTGCCATCTGCAACAGTTCTCTGACTCTGCCACAGTCTGTCTCATCACAGGTGAGGACGACTCAGAGTACAAACAGTGGACTCAAGACTTTGTGGACTGGTGCCAGCAGAACCACCTCCTGATCAACGCTGCTAAAACTAAGGAGCTGGTGGTGGATTTCTGCAGGTACAGATTCACCTCACTGACCCCGGTGAACATCCAGGGAGTGGACATCGAGATCATGGACTCTTATCAGTACCTGGGTGTTCACCTGAACAATAAAGTGGACGGGTCTCACAACACTGATGCACTTTACAGGAAGGGTCAGAGCAGACTAACTGCTGAGGAGACAGGTCTTTTGGAGTGCAGGGGGTGTTCCTGAAGACCTTCTTTGACTCTGTAGTGGCATCAGCCATCTTCTATGGTGTTGTGTGTTGGAGCAGCAGAAGCTAGATAAGATCATCAAGAAGGCCAGCTCGGTGCTTGGATGCCCCCTTGACCCAGTGCAGGTGGTGGGAGACAAAAGGACTCCAGCTAAAATAACATCATTGCTGGACAACGTCTCCCACCCCATGAAGCTGCTGCTGAACTGGAGAGCTTGTTCAGTGACAGATTCCTGCTCCTAAATGCACAAAGGAGCGTCACCGCAGGTCCTTCCTCCCAGCAGCTGTTAGGCTCCCAACAAACTCAATAAGGATTAAATACATGCTGACCTCTGCTAAAACACACACTCTGCCTATAATACTGTACTGTCAATAAATACATATTGAACATTATTATTGATACGGTTTATCTTATTTCTTTATATATTGTTTTTAGTATTTAGGAACTTTTGTGTGAATCTTTTTATCTGTTGCTGCTGTTACACTGAATTTCCCATCCGTGGGACAATAAAGGCTGTTTCTATTCTATTCTATGCAGGTTAATACAGGGTTAACAGTACAATGAAATGCTCAGGATGAGAAGAACCAATTTGACTCAATAAAAAAATTAACGAACAAACAAACAATACTAAAAGTATGCAATAAGGGTACACAAAAAAAGTACAAAAAAGTGATTATAGTATTTACAATGTCCTAAAGAGAGGAAATGAACAACAACATGGTAGAATATAATGGTGCAGCAGGATGAATTTGAATGAATAAGTACTTCAAGGTAGTAATATAAGCTAAAATGCATGATATATATGTATGTATATACAGACCCTTTCCAAAAAATTAGAATATCATGGAAAAGTTGTTTAACTTTCACAATTCCATTCAAAAAGTTAATCTTTAATACATGATGGATTCAGGGCCCACAATTTAAACAATTTCCAAGTATTTATTTGTTTATTTTTTTTACATAATTTGAGCTTCCAGCTCATTAAACCCATAAAAATAGGATTTTTAAAAAATAGAATACTGTGTAGAAATCATCCCAAATGTTGCAGGTCATGAATGTTTTAAACTGAGTGTGACACTAATCATCTACTAAACTCAAAGCACTTGCACAGGTTTTCCCAGGTGTCATTAAATTGTTTCAGTTTGGTTCAATATGGGGAAGACTGCAGACAGAACAACTGACCAGAAGACCATCATTGATACCCTCCATAGGATGGGTAAGCCACAACAGTTCATAGCTAAGGAGGCTGGCTGTTCACAAAGCGCTATGTACAAGCATATCATTGGAAAGTCTAGTGGAAGGGCAAAATGTGGCAGGAGAAGATGCACCAGCAAAAGAGATGACCGTGGGCTTCAGCGGATCATCAAACAGAGAAGATTCCAGAATTTGTCAGAGATCCATAAAGAGTGGAATGAGTCGGGAGTCACAGCTTCAAAAACCACCACATTCAGACGCATCCGGGAGATGGGCTACAACTGTCGGGTTCCTCTGTCCTCTTTTTCGATGAAAGTAAAGTGTGCCTTTCATTCAGAAATCAAGGTCCAAGGGTTTGGAGGAAGAAGGGTGAGGAACAGAACCCATACTGCTTGAGGTCCAGTGTGAAATATCCACAGTTAGTCATGATTTGGGGTGCAATGTCCGGTGCAGGTGTTAGTAAACTCTGCTTTCTTAAATCCAAGGTCACAGCAACAGTCTACCAGAATGTTTTAGAGGACTTCATGATTCCTTCTGCTGAGGATCTGTATGGAGACGCAGATTTCATCTTCCAGCAGGACCTGGTCCCTGCCCATGCTGCCAGAAGCACCAAAACCTGGTTTGATGCCCATGCCACAGTGCTTGACTGGCTAGCCAACTGGTCGGACATAAACCCCATTGAGAATCTATGGGGTCTTCTCAAGAGGAACATGAGGGGCACCAGACCCAACAACAAAGAAGAGCTGACAGCAAGCATCAAGGAAATCTGGGCTTCCATAACTCCCAGTCAATGCCACAGGCTGATTGCCTCAAAGCTATGTCACATAGAGGCAGTGATTAAGGCAAAGGGATTCACAACCAAGTATTGAAGATTGACATATTGATTTGAAAGTACCATATTTTGATTGATTTGTTGTGATCTTAATTTATTTCTTTTTTTTCTGCAACAACTGAGAAGTAGTGTGGGCTGATGTTTTCACAGTATTCTAAGTTTTTGAAATCCTGTTTTCATGGGTTTCATGAGCTGGAAGTCCAAATTATGTAAAAATAAACAAATACATATTTGAAATCATTTAAATTGTGGGCCCTGAATCTATCATCTATTAAAAATTAACTTTTGAATGGAATTACGGAAGTTAAACAACTTTTCCATGATATTAAATAGTTGGACTTCCAGACCTTGGCCTCATGAAATTTTGTCTGACTGGACCTCTTTAAATTAT